CATATACATATACATATACATATACATATACATATACATATACATATACATATACATATACATCATATACATATACACATACGTACGTACGTACGTACGTACGTACGTACGTATGTATGTATGTATGTATATATATATTTAAAGTCACAACCCCTGGTATGGCCCAATTATGGGAGGAAGCTAACTGCTTCCATTATCTATCTATCGGCTCGCCACAAGAGGCCATCATGACAGAGACCCAATATTTTTACTGTTGCCTTTGTACAAATACAACATATCCACACACACACACACACACACACACACACACACACACACACATACACATAATTTTAATGAACTGTTAAAATGGCAGTATCAGCATTGGGTGATTTTGGATAAGTGGTGTCTGCAAAAGGGCAAAAGAGGTCAGACTAATGAAAGTAGAGTTGTGTTGCAACACTTGTCCCACCCTTTTTCTATAAGTATCACACTATCAAGATACATGCCTGAAAAAGATAAGTTTGCAGCACAATGTGCCATTCACAACACCAGTAAAAGCTGGATTGGTTTCTTATTTCAAGTACTTCATTGCCACATCACAAGGTGAGTTGCATAAAAGATGAGAAATAAGCCTTCAGATGGTATTCCTTCTTTAACTACTTTAGGCAACTTAAGAATTTAGATCCTTAAATAAGGCCTTGTGGTCCCAAGGGAGGGAGCAAAGCAAATGACATGAAGATAATTCTTTCAAGAACTTTTGGAATCAGTGATTTTGGAACCTAAAGTTAAATGTTGGTGTGCAACAATATTCTGGCTTTCTAATTTTTTTTTTACACACATCCTTATATATTTGAGTGGTTGTTCTATATTCTTGTCCTCAATCACTTACCATGATTTAAACAGGAAACATCTGCTGTTTTTCTTGAAACCTGATAGTAATATTAATTCATATCCTTGGGTTTAAATCATATGCCTAGCTCCTTTAGACTTAGGTTGCCACCTTGTGACCAGTGTTTGCAACAGAAAAATCATAATTTTCATTGTTGGATTAGATCAGATTACCCTGATCTATTAGATTTTTCTCATGAGCTCTGAACATTTCAAATTACCACCTACAATTCCCTGTGGAATAAGCATCTTCTTATTAGAATAGTGCTTTTCTTTGAACTGTGACTCTATTTCTAGTGTCCAATACATCAACCTGTATGTCCCTGGGACAAAATGGGACACGTTCAGATCTTTGTTTCAAATGAGAAGAATCTGTACAAAATTTCCTGAATTTATCACTTTTTTGCTACAGTATTTTTCCTTCTCTTACTTTGATTCTTCTTGGTTTTTTCTAAACTTGCAGTCCTGCTAGGAATTATTATCATAATCTCGCTTTCCTTGCGTGGGCATTCCTGCCATTGTTCAGAAAATGATCGCTGTTTTTCTCATTAGATGTTTGATCCCTGTTTTTCTCATTAGATGTTCTTATGTCTCTATTATTTATTTATTATTTATTTTGTCCAATTTGCAAAAGAAGAAGATTGAAGTGAAGCTGGCAAGGTAGTAGCTTTTGATAGATGGTCCTATATTGACAGCAGGAAACACAGGTATAGAAAATGAGTGAGCAGCAAGCTGAAGAAACATGGCAGATGGCAGATATTCCCTTTAAACTAAACAAACTAAACATGAAAATTGTTGGCATGTGCAGAGCACCCTTCTAAGCGTGTCTATTTGTTAAATGCCCTTTAGTAGGATTTACTTTCAGGAAAAGGTGTAGAGGAATCTCAACTCCCTTTTCCTGGTTTTTGAGTCTTTTGATGGTGTGCTGGTGGTGTGTGGATGTGGGTGGGAGTTATTTTGTTCAAATGTACGAAGCAAGACTGCTTTTAGAACTCCCTTTGCTATTCTTCCCATATTGTTTTTACAAGTACTAATAATATATCTCCGTAGTCCTCAACTACTAGGATGCCCAGTAGGAACTGAAAAGGAGCATTGCAGCAGATGTATTAGTGTTTTTTCCCCCAATTTCATTACATGAAGAGCCTGACCTCACTAGAAGCTAAAAATTATTATTATTGCTTTGATATTATTCTTAGCAACAAATGTTCATATCATGATCTATGATAATAGGTTATCTATGAAAGATTATAGGGAAATACCATTTATTTCAGACAGCAAAATCATCTATCTATCCATCTATCTATCTCTACTCTCCTATCTCAATCTTAAAAGCAAACACTGCTTTAGAATGTAGTTGAATTAAATAGCTATAATAATCTATTGGTTTTTTTATTTATCATTCCAAATTATTATATTTGTCTTTTTAAAAATGCTATCTATATCTGGGATAGCATTCTCCCAGATATTCATATATCTCCTCTCCCTTTTCCATTGATGTTGACAAAGTTGCTCTCTCATGCCTTGACAGTCAATGGTTGTTGACTCCTGTAAGGTTTTTGTTGTTATGCATGGTTTTTCTTCTGCATGCATATGACCTGTGAGTTTTGAATTTAATTGTTCTTGCTTTTAAAGTGCAAACCTCCCAGAATCATCTGAAGTCAGCCTCTACACTGTATGACTAAATAAAAACAGAAATGATCAAAGGGAGTTCCTCTGTCCTTCAATCCAGTACAAGGTTATTTGCAGATATATGTTAAAGTCTTCAGAGAGGTTAACATAGCTTTAAAATATGTCATTTTTGCCCTAGTGTCACTTATAAATTCTAATAGCAGTGTTGGGGTAATTATACAGATAGCCATCTAGTTGTGGGAACATAAAAATATATCATTATTGAGTTGAATTTAGAAATGTTCAGTGACTGAATAATCTCCACTGGGTTGTAAACTTCTTGAGAATTTTGGATTTCCCTGTGAAGCCTGATATAGAGTATATAGCCTCCAGTTACACTTTCATTCTGGGGCTTTAGTAATATTAGCAACTTGATTTTACTAGTTTGTGAGCCTTAGGCAATTATGCTTTACCTCCTGCTCAGGGACTGTGAAAATTCAATATCAGAAAGGCAAGTGTTTCTGCAATTCCTTACCTACTTATTTTTAAAAAAGTATATGTGCTTGAACATATCAGTGAAATTTTCTTCATTACCAACCCTCATTTATATCTATAAGCATCGTTGTACTAAAGCTGATGGATTTTTAAAAAATGCATATTAACTATGTTAGATAATGCCATCTTCCTGTATCTCTCTCTTACATTTAAATACACACATTGCAGTGATTTGTAATGAAGACATGAATGTGTTTGACTGCAGGTGTGAAAACTGCACTTTAAATCCTAAATTTTGTTTATACAATAAACAGTGAAGCAATTATGCTGATTACATAGAATTGCAGCCATCTGGCCTACATTAAAAATATAAAGTTTTTTAGATCCAATATTGCAGATCCCTTTGCTTGGTTTTGTATTAGATTTACTAATAGCTCTATTGCTACTGAGTAGGAGAAGAGTAAATTTACTGTGCAATCCTGCTAATGCATTCTTTCCTTCTCTTTCTAGCCCCCTGTGAAGCCAACACATTTTTTTGCCATAGTAATATGTGTATTAATAATACATTAGTCTGCAATGGACTCCAGAACTGTGTATATCCATGGGATGAAAATCACTGCAAAGGTAATGCTAAGCATATGGATTAAACTTCAAATTAATGCCACAGTAGTTTTAGTTTAATTATTTGAAACTCACAGAATAATTATTTTCATGCTTTTCAATGAATGCATAAGGCTGTTTATCACCTCGCTATAAAATTTGTTAGAACTTGTTTCAAAGGTTATTACAAAATAGAGTGTTTAATGGCTAGAGTGAAAAAGTCCTATATTTTCACTGGAAAAGATGTTGTTGGACTTTGATCTGTATTTGGATAGAGAAATACTATCACTTGGGTTTCTCATTTTGTTCATGGTGCTTAATATTCAGTGCTTATGAAAATATACACCATTATTAAAAGAGCACTCACAATATAAACTTACAGTTATAAGGAGATACCAGGGCTGATTTGTGAAATTGCAATGTTTTGAGCTATTCATGGCTATATGGGACAAAACCAGAGCATTGATATGTTAAAAATAAAATATATAACACAATAGCATTAGAAAACATTCAATGAAGAATGTATATGTATGAAAAGTAAAAACATACATACTTCTGTGTGTCTTGAATGTGAATAATATATGCACTTGCCCTTGTGTAAACCTGACTTTGTTTCATGAGAAAATAACAAAAACAGCAGAACAACTCATTTCTTTGCATTGTTATGGGAAATAAAGCCAAATATTTCTTAAGATAAAAATCCAACTTCCAATTACAACTAACTGTATAATTAACGAGGCTATGCTTAAATGATATTTTCTATAATTCATTGGTTTCTATTGTGAAAAATAGAAACCCAAACTAGAATTTCAAACGCAAGCTTTATAGTACAGTTTGATAACAATTGTTTTGCCATAGCCCTCTAGACTTGGAGATTTCTGTATCTGCATTTGTCTTCATTATAAAGAACAAGAGGGATAATTTATTTCAGCAACAGCTTCCATGGTTATTATGCCGTTGAAAGCTTTTTGGAGAAGGGTAAAGAACATAGGGCATCATTCATTTAGGAAGAAATGGAAAAAGCTTAGCCTTAACTCATAGCCAGCATAATGAGCCAAGCAGAAGAAATCGAAGTGTAATTCAAACAGAGGATTTTAAAATAGCAAATAATCTCTCAGAAAAAAAGAGTTATAATTTTATGTTTTCTTTGTTGTAAATGCAAATAATCTGTCCACTAATTGATAGTTTTAAGTGCCTGAATGATTGTGATGAGGCAATTCTATTAGATAGCTTTTTTCCATGCCTAACTGTTCAATATTAATGTTATGAGAAAGACATCAATGTCTGGTGTGGTTTGTTGGGTCTGTTCTACCAGTATCTTCCCAGAAAGTATGGGTGGCCTACACATTTTGAATTCTACATAAAGTACCTATCTATGCATGATTGTGAATTTGACTCAAATGTTTGATTCAATGAATAGATAAGGCGCAGGACTGGGCAATCATGTGATTCAAAAGTTGGAATAAATATGCAGTTTTACTGTCCTTTTCAACATGTGAGTTTCCTTAGGCAATTAATGAGTGAAGAATTGCCAATCAAGCCTTAACTTTTTAGCTTCATCATTTCAAAAGTGGTGCCGACAATATTTCTATACTCTTATGAAACAGATGAAATAAGAACAGATTAATTTTTACCACCAAATGCTGTAGGCTACCAGATTATGAAGAGCATTTCTAAATATGCCACTGATCAGAAGCAGAAGTCCCTGCTAGCAAGTGAGAAGCGATCAGTATTTATTCTGAATATTAATTTTATTTCAAAGCTTTCTCTCTGTCTCCTTGGGATACCAAGCTGAATAAAACCTCAACACATATTCATAGCGTGCCAGGACAAGTGGCAAATCATCAGCGTATTACTAATTTTAATCAAGAAGTATAATACAAAGGGAAGAGGATAAATTTTTCATTAAAGAGATTTGAATCTTGATCCTGGATTGTTTTTGAACTATATTAGTTCTATAACTAGTTGCATTTAGAGAAGATTTGAGAGGGGTGGCTTTTGTGGTAAGTTTTCGGAAGAGTTCTTTTGGAAATAAAAATGTTAGATAAAATGTCAAAGAATAGCTGAATTATTCTCCACAAGATTGAGCAGTACTGACATCAATGCAGGATAACACAAGCAAAATCCTTTTAAGAAGCTGTTACCTCTTAAATGGACCTATTGCGCCTAATGGAGGAAAGTTGGCTACTTCTAATAGAAATAAGAAATAAATAGATTTTGCTTTTCCCAATTAACCCTGAGACCCTCCAGTGCTTGGTGGTATTGCCTGCTTATCTTCACATTATGGGAAATTGTCTCTATTAATCTCTGTAGTGAACTTAAGAATAAAACTATGGTTCTGAATTTAGAATTAATAGAAAAGACACGCACACTTGTATCTGACTAATACTCATGTTACCCAGAATTTATTTTCCATTGGCCAGTCGGATGCATCTGAGAAAGTTACAAACAAGGCATAGAAACAAGCAATTTCTTCTCAGATGTTACTTGTTTCCACCTCAGCAATTATTGTAGTGCAGGAAGTTCTCAACATAGAGCCAGTTGTTTAACGATTGTTTGAAGTTACAATGGCGCCAAGAAAAAGTGACTAACAACTGGCCCTCACACCTATGACCACAGTCCCCACAGTCATGATCAAAATTTTGGCACTTGACAACTGGCATATATTTATGACATGACCACCTTTTCAAACTTCCCAGATGGCTTTCAGTAAACAACCCCCCATTTCAACTCTCCCAACTGGCTTCTCCACAAGAGGAAGAAGCCAACTTTGCTTAATGACCATGGTGATTCGCTTAATAACAATGACAAGAAAAGTCATAACATAGGGCATGTTAATTTAATGACTCATTTAACAAATGCACTGCTTAGCAACAGAAGTTTCCATCCCAATGGTGGTCATAAGTCAAGGACTATCTGTATATCTCTTCTTTGGCTATTAATATTAAAAGGTGGATTTGCTTTATGTTATGAGAAATATCCACTCAACACCGCTTGATAAACTAGCCTCTTCCTTTTTCTAAATATTAGAGCAAGTAAGATCTTGAATCCTAACTCAGAAATAATGTAGAGGGAAGTTGATTCAATATGAAATGGAGTAATACAGTTGATTAATTGCATAAGGTGCCAAATTCTGCACCAGTTGTAGTTTCTGAATATTCTTGAAGACCATCCTGACATTTATTAACCAAAAAGAGAAACAACTAATGAAAGTGCTCCTTCTACAGCAAGAGAAAATAATCTAAAACTAGGCAAAGATCCAAAACTAGGCAATGTCACTGAATATTCATTCAGGTGTCACAAGTAGGTCCAGTAGGTGTGGCCTTTCATTTATGAAAACAAATGTTTTACAACCTGCACAGGATTGCTTAATCTTTCACATTGGTAAAAATGTAAGGAAGACATTATCTCACTACTAAAATTGGAGTATCTCTATACTTTATTTCATCTAACTCCATAAACTCATAGCTGTTTCTTTTCATTGCCCTAGTTCAGGAAAAAAAATGGCAATTTCTACAGGCGTACAATAATAATAATAATAACTGAAGTAAGGTGGGCGAGATGAAATGTTACTTTGCCCTAAAAGTAGATTGTGGGTGTTTGAATGATTATAATCTCAAATTTCATTTTAACTCTTTAAAATCAGTATAAGAATTTATTAACTTAACACCAGTGAAATAATCCCTCTCTTTTTGCTGTTGTATTTTGTATTTTATTGAAACATTTATTATAAGCTCATCTCCCGTGGGAATTAGAAAAAATGTGAGAGGAAAGAATAGGTTAACCCAGTGATGGTGAACCTTTTTTGCCTTGCGTACCAAAAGCGCGGTAGCGCAAGGGGGTCATGCGCAGGTGTGCCACACCCATAATGCATTGCACACAACCCCAGTACACATGCACACATGACCAGCACTCCCCCCCATTTTTGGCATACTTTTCTCGCCCTCCCCAGGCTCCAGAAGCTTTATAGCAGTGATCCCCAACCCCCGGTCCGCGGACCGGTGCCGGGCCGTGGAGTACCTGGCACTGGGCCGCGCAGCGGCCGGGGGCCATGATTGCTGCAGCGGCCGGGGGCCATAGTTTCTTTCTGTATGCAAATTAGGGCTAACTGGCACAAGGGGTGTTACTGGACCGCTGGTGGCACTCTGACGTCACCAGCGGCCCACCGCCCCCCTGTGTCCAGCGCCGCCCTTCTCATTCCTTTTCAGCGCTTCAGCGCTGGCCGATTCCTGAAAAAAACCTAAGAGCGCCTGCGCAGCTACGTAGGGCTAGCGTAGACAGTGCTAGTAGCGTAGCCTTGCACTTTATATTTATGTAATTGTATTTTATTTTGTAAGGCATGTTTAAATACAATAAAATAAAAGTTGTTTAATCAAAACAATCTGATATATAAACAATCAATGTGTCGCCGCGAACAATGCCCCCCCACCCCTGCGCGCGCTCAGCGGGCCACGGTAAAATTATCAAAGGCTGACTGGTCCGCGGCGATAAAAAGGTTGGGGACCACTGCTTTATAGGAGCCGGGGGAGGGAGAAAACAGCCTCCCCACCCCCCCTGGACGCCCTCTGGAGGCTTCAGGAGCTTCCCTGAAGCCTCCGGAGCCCAAAAAACAACTGGAAGTTGGAGAACGGACTTCCAGTTTGCTCATAGGGCCGGTTTTACTCCTCTGGAGCCTTCAGGGACCTTCAGGCTTCCCTGAAGGCTTCAGAGGACTAAAACCAGCCCTACGAACAAACTGGAAGTCCGTTCTCCAACTTCCGATTTGCCCGTAGGGCCAGTTTTTTGCACTCTGGAGGCTTCAGGGAAGCTCCTGAAGCCTCCGGAGGGCGGGGTGGGGAAAGCTGTTTTCGCCTTCCCCAGACTCCTATAAAACCTCTGGAGCCTGGGGAGGCAAAAAATGGCCTCAAAAGAAGGCCAAAGTCTCGCGTACAAATGGCTCCACATGCCACCTGTGGCACACATGTCATAGGTTCGCCATCCCAGGGCTAACTCATCTTTCTTAATTTCTTTGTAGTATGTATTCTCAACTTTCTCAGGATGTGCTTTAATTTTCACACATGCTCCATATTTGAAAATCTCTGGTGGATTTTCATATATGCTAAGTACATTGATAGACATGATTTATCTTAGTCCACTTTGAACTACATTATCTCTCTTTCCCCTAACTTTTGAATAATAAATTGCCCTGTGGCAAACAATTGATTTTATCCCTCCTGGAAGGAAAAGAAAATACCCTGGCATTTTGAGGCTTGCTATTTTTCTTAAATTGAAACCATTTTTATGGTATATATTATAATGTCACAAGGTAAATTCAATGAATAGAAAATCTTTACCATTTCAATTTATTGCACAAATGCTTGATTATAAGTGGTCTGGAAAGCCTTCAATTTTCAAATGAAAGATGCATTTCTTTGCTAGTAAAATATTGAAACTATAATGATGGAAATATATAAGATACTTTATCATGTACTGTATTATATTTAAACAAAAAGCATTTATTCAGACCATTTATCCCATCATATTATTCATACAGTAATTGTAGTCATCAATTGAAAATGTAATCATTGTATAGGCAAAAGTGGTTTCCTATTATTAGATGTTTTATTAAACATTAAAAAATAATCTGTCCATATTATATACATTCTTGGTATAAGAACAATTTATACGCACAATTACAGATCCACAATAGAAACATCTAACAACAACACATGTTCATAATTTTCCTTTAGAATGAAGTATAATATAAAAATACAACAATAATAACAATAAAATATACAAAAACAATAATATATTCCGAACTTTTCTCCCTTTAAATTCCCCGATAGAATAACATATAGTTTTACTATAGCCTAGTTTCAAGTTGCTTAATGAATCTTGATCCCTCCCCCCGCCAGTAAATGGCTGGCCTCTTAAAAGTATTACTTGAAATAGTTAAAAAGTTGCTTAAGGATCAGCAAAGTGGTTGTCTTTCACTTTTGTCAAAACATATTCTGAACAAGTTTCTTTTTAATGGATACAATCATAACAAATATGTATTTATTTATATTTCACACTTCTTCTAGGGCAAGGTTGTCAAACTCGATTTCATTGAGGGCCACATCAGCATTGTGTTTGACCTTGGGAGGCAGTGGCCAGCTAAACGTCACTCATGTCAGGGGTGCCTGTGGTGGCCCAAAAGCTCTGCCAACGAAAATGGACTGTTTCCAGGGTGGCCCTGTGGGTCAAATCTAAGCACCCCATGGGCCAGATCTGGCCCCTGGGCCTTGAGTTTGAAACCCGTGTTCTAGAGGAAGGTGAACATTAAGCTGGAGTTTTAATCCTACCTTTTGTAGGCCCAGCTTCCAATGAGATACAAGATTATTTCCTATACTTTCTAGAGGTTTAGTCTAAAATCATATAGGGATATGAATACTTATGTTGATAATTAGTAGAATGGAATTAGAAAGAAGCACCCATCTCATACTATAGGTGGAAGGCATATGAGAGCGACTTGATTATTAAATGTGTTGAAGCGTCTGAACGACCATGGCTGTAAATTGTGGTTTATCTAGATTGACTCTTGATCTAATCCAATGAGCAATAAAACAATCAAATCTATAGCAATTTCTTTAGCTTTATCAGGAGATTTTTGTTCATTTGGATTTGGACTCAACTGTCCATTGAGCTGAATGCACATGCACTTCGTTTTATTTTCACTCTGTGCTTAGTTTCATTTTCACTCTTAAGATATCAATTTAAGTCAGTGGTTCCCAACCACTGATTTAAATAATTTAAGTTATTTGATCTACTTTCAGATTCCAGGACCAGCTTAAAAAAAAGATTTGTCCATGGATATGAACATTCCAATCCCCAACAAGGAAAAGTTAACAAATTAACTTTTCACTCTGAGAGCCAGATTATTATTTTAGGAAAGTCATGATAAAAGTCTAGCTATCCTCTGTTAGGGATGTTGGAGAACATAATGGAGAAGTTTGGAAATCACTCATTGCACTTTCAAGGATTTGGTTAAATAGATTTAAAAAATCTTAGTTTTCATCAGATTGCACAAAATGATATTATGCCACCAATTTTGTTATTTTGTATGTATTTTAAAATACTTGATTTATACTTTACAGAAATGCATATTATAATTGACTTCTGACTGTAGAATGACTTTATATCCAACTATTTGACTAGTTGAGGTTTATAGGGCTGGAGCAATTCCAGGGAATTGAAATCAGTCCCTGATCAGCAAAATGTTGTCCTACTATAGAATTCTGTGTTTCTTGTATTCTTTCTTATATCAGTTCTATAGTCTGCAGATGTATTGGGACATAATTATCAAAGGTGTATAGCCATGAAATCTATTGAAATGCAGTTGCAACACATCCGGACAGTACTAATCATGGTAACAATCATAAAACTAATTGTCATTTTTTTAAAAAAATGGTGGATTTTAATTTTCTGTTTTATTTGTTTATTTCTCTTCCTCATCTCACAGAAAAGACAAAAGCCAGCCTGTGGGACCAGCTTACAAATACCAGTGGGACAATCATTGGGGTGACTTCTTGCATTGTGATCCTCCTTATCATTATCTCTGTTATAGTCCAGATCAAACAGCCGCGTAAAAGATTTGTCCAGAAGAAAGCAGACTTTGATCAAACAGTGTTCCAAGAGGTCTTTGAGCCTCCTCATTATGAGTTATGTACTCTCAGAGGGACAGGAACCTCCGTGGACCTTGCAGATATTGCAGATGACTTTGAAAATTATCATAAACTCCGTAGATCATCTTCAAAATGCATTCATGACCACCACTGTGGATCACAATTATCTAGCACTAAGGGCAGCCATAGTAATCTTAGCACAAGAGATACGCCAATCTTGACAGAAATTCAACCCCAGCCTGCAAAGCCCCTTATCCAGCCTATGAACAGAAGAAACATCCTTGTCATGAAGCATAGCTACTCACAGGAAGCTGCAGATGTGTGTGAGATAGATGAAATTGAAGAGGTACCAACTACGAGCCACAGGCTGTCCAGGCATGATAAAGCTGTTCAGCGGTCAGTATCAATAGATTTTTGATGAGGACGTTTGCATGAAAACTGGGTTCAGCTCTATTTTCTATTTATTTTTTCTAACATGCATATCCATTTACAGTCCTGCCATTCTTTGTGAGCTAACATTCTTCTTTTTCCAGGATGCATTTATGCATGGTGGATAAGTATTCTAAAGAGGGTTTTTTTTTGTTTATGTTTTTATTTTGATGAGAAGGGAGTGGAGGAAGAGAAGGTGCTTTTGGTACCATCCCATGAAAATAGCCAAGAATCACTTAGCAAGTCAGTGATTCTGCTTGCTAAGATTCCAAAATTGCCCTTATTTATATTTTTAGGCATTTACTACAACTTCTAACACAATACAATCCATGGCAGTATTCCCTGGCAATTTTTTACAGATGAAAATAGGTTCTTTCTATTTATATTTACCTGCTATTTGGCATAAAGTAGCCAAGGAGACCATTGCAGTACCAGGCTTTACTGTCTGGCTTTGATAATGAAGAAATAATGAAGTTTAAATGAAACCAATCACTAATCTAGGCTCTAAAATAGTTTTAGTTCTGAAGTGCAGCCTTTCCATACATTGATGTACTCGAGAGCAAATTGTATGGAGGAATTTATAGCAGAAAGGTCAAACAAGGGAAATTAAGCAGCTATTTCTAGGGAGGCTTATTTAATTTTTAAAGCGGCTAAAGAATACTGTTGATTATAATTAAGTTAGGTTTTGCATGTACAGTAGACATACTTATTTTGTGAAAAATTCTAATTGCAAATATTCCATTACCTGTCTGACTTCATTTTTTCTTTGTTTGTTTGCTTGTCTCTAATGTTTTCAGGAGTGGGGTATGGTGTCTTACTATTTAAATTTCATTAAATATAAAAATGTATGAAAGGGTAGATAGACGCTTATCTACCAAATATACTTTTGATTTAATTAAGGGCAGTTTTCTTTGAAAAATCAGCATGCAGAGCTGATTTCCTAGAGAGCATGAATGTAATATTTTCTCCTTCCAAATTGTAGGGAGGGATAAACCAATGAAAAAATCCATTCGCCTTCCCCTCATTGATCATGTTTCTTTTATACAGCAAAACACAATATTTTGAAATATGATATGGTGATTTCTGTAGTTGATATATCATTACTTGTCTTGTTTATTTGCAATTTAGACTAGGGGATAATTTTTATGCTTTAGCTTGATATTCTTTTAGATTTGCTTATGAAAAAAAAGTAACAGAGCAAAAGCTTTCTAAATCAAATCTGGCAGAATTACTGTTTCAACGGAAGTTATGAGGACTCTTTTGCTGTGAAATGCACCCTGCATGCTTGTTAATAAAAATGCTTAAAAGATTATGGGTAAATATGAAGTGAAAAATATTTACAATGTACTTGGAAACTGCCAGAAACTTTGTAATAGGTTTAGGCTTTACACATGTATTTTATTATTCTCCATATTATTATGTTCATATATTCAGTCTTTTCCATCTACATAAAAGCTAGCCAAATCCGGGGTGTCTAGAAGACACAGGAGGAATAAAACAAGTTAAATTGGTGGATACAGCCATGTGATCGGAGACCCCATTATTATCTTTTTTCTGCAAATACTCCTCCTCAATGCAAACACCCCATCCAAAACTCAGAGCACTTTGTCAATTAGTTACACCAAGCCATTTTAGTCGACTAATTTTAAAGGTTTGACAAAGTTAGCAAGAGCACTATTTTTGCCTACCAGCCTACTGGTTTTAGGTATCTTAAATTGCCTGAATCTTTAGATATGCTTCAGTAAAGAATGTATATGCATGTATTTCTTTTTTTTTCTATGCAAACATTATTATGTTGAATGAAATAGCCATAATATTCCAGGTTCTGCCTCATTGGGTCTCTAAACAAACATGAATCTGAGTACAACACAACGAGGGTGTAACAGACAACTGAAGGTAAGTGAACAACTGAATATATTGTTCCCAATTCACCATCCTTGCGTTTCATTTGTTTTCTTTGGGAAAAAAATCTGAGATCTTTTTATGATTTGGTTTTTGTGATTGTACATTTTGGCTTGTTTGAAAAATATTGCTATTCCCTGCAAAACAAAGATTTTAATAGGGTATGCTGTAATTTTAATATCACATATAACTTATGCAGTCACTTTGCTCAGTTCCATTATAACATCCTGCAAAATATGGTTCTGAATTTTAAGTTTGATTTTTAAGCAGCGGTTTGGCAGGGCCATTGACTTTGATTGTTATTCTTTTAAAATCCAGTGTTTAAAATGTTTCAAAAGGTAATAACTTCCAGCCTGCAGCTTACCCCACTATAGGATAATAGAGAACCTATCTTTTTGATCTATGCATAGTCATAATTGATGGCATGCTTATTTTAGGGAAGTTGAATTAATATGCGGATGATTTCTTATTTATCTTCACAATTCACTGAAGCAAGGCCTGTTGGCCATCTTCATGAAGTAGGAGTTTGAACTTGTGTCTTATTTAAATCCTAGAACTCCATGATAACTTTATTATTTTGAGTATTATGAGTGGCACTTATTGATGCACTACAGTGAATGTCCTCACCCAACAATATACAACCACATTTGGCTGTAGTCCAAGATTGTTAGACCAAAAACAAAGTTTAATTTATTTCATCTAATTACAATAAATTAATATAATAGATTTAATACATTCCTTGTCCCTATAAATGTAATATTTTTGTCCTATATCACTTTGCAAAGCACAAATTGGTGCCATTTTGTTTGGCCCATATCTAAGGTTTTGGTGGTTGCATGTGATCCCAGAGTTCAGGTTCTAAACATATAATTCATGACTGTTGAAAAGATGAAGAAAACAAGAATCTGTAACTAAAAGTATGACTTGGATAATGAACTACGAAGGAAGTGCAGAAAATTAATTTCTGAGACTCAGCAGGAAAAACATCCCATGTCTTGAATTTATCCTACTTCTCACTATGCTGTACACCGGTGTCAATCAGTCTGTTTGGTTAATACCAATTAAATGTATTATCAGATTATGATATGGATACATTTTACTGTGTTTTCAGCAAGTACTTAATAATATCAGGGAATGACGTAGGAAGCAGTGCCATATGAAAATGTAACTCACTTATTCCATTTATACAAACTTGCAGTTTAAAATACTTTTTCTTGAAGAGTTTGAAAAGGGTTTATATTTTTGTCGTTTAATTTTTCCACAATTAGCCTATTGACTTTGTGTTCAAAACTATACCTGAAATGGCGACACAATCAATTATTTTAAGCTATCAGGAGAATTTTATACACTTAATTTCTCCTATTACTGATAATAAATCAAGAAGATCACCATACACTTCAGAGGTAGCATATAAGTCACAGAATTTTCAAACTATGTTTCAAACTATGTGATTTAAGTGAAGTTTAACATTGTGGTTATCACTGAATAGTAAGATACACCTAAAGGCATATTTGGGGAAAGGAAGGGGCAAAGGCCATTGTTTCATGCATGCCAAAATGAAAAATGTTTAATTTTAATGCTGCTGATGATTTGTGAAAAGATCTTTCCTAAAGAAGATACTTTCATATTTCCATTATTTTTTTAAAATGTGGCTGAAATTAAGTTTGTTTATATGTTATTTATTCTTATTTGAAGTAGAGTTTACTTGGAAATTGATTAATAATGGTAGCTAAACCAATATTTTAAATATTTTGTTAGTTTGTCTGCATCTATATGATCCAGTTTTTACATGTGAATTTGTGTGTGCACACCTGGGAGGAGTGTATCATACTGCCAATCACAAGTAGTTTTGGTGCTTAAACCATTAAAAAAATTCCCAACTCTTCCAATGGACAAAAACCTTTGCTCCATCTTTTCACGGAATTCATTAAATCCCTATCAGTGAGTGGATGGATGGTTGGAGTTATGGATTTTTGGGCCTAAGGTACAAAAACAGACCCATCTGAGCAATTTTCATCATTTTGCACAGAATTTCCGAATAAATCACATTTCTTTTCATGGTTGAATTCATGGTATCTTATCTATATAATATCCTTCTTATGTTACAATATTTTACATATTGTGTCATATAAGATTCTTTCCATTAAACTTGTTATGTGTTCATTGTTTTCATTATGTAGATTGCTTCAGAATAGTGCATCCGGGGTGATTTTGAATATACAACAGTGACTTACGAAAATATCAGCTCTGGAACTACAAGCTAGAAATATTCTGGACTCCAACGAACTACTATGATTTTGGGGTGGGGGTAGGGGAATCATCAGTCAATAATAAGCAAAATTAATGAATGGCAATAAGACCCTTATTACTATCATTTATTGTAATCATATTTTTCTTTTATATTGTTATTTATTTTGTTATTTGATTACAAAAAAAGTTATCCACTTTCAGGAACAAATGATTAAATCAGGTATTTATGAATTCATAACCACTTCAACAGAAGTATCAGTTGAAAACATATCTAATGATGTGGCAGAAGGTCACGCTGAGAAATTGATCTGCATGTATGTTGCTGAATATTTCAATCGGCAAAAAAAATGTTTGAGATTCATTGTAAAAAGCATGCATTCATACTTAATACTATTCCAATCCATTTCTTTGTGTCATATGCTTGCTAATTGTAAGTTTTTATATAATGATACATAAAACAATGTATAATAATTTCTTAAACTGAGTTTTGCAGTAGTCTTTTATTTATACAAGCAGTTAAGTAAGGATTTATAGTACATTCGCTGGGTCACATCTCAATGATGAATCATTTTTAGTAGCTGAAATTCTGAAAGTCATCTAGAACAGAGGTCTCCAAACTTGACAACTTTAAGACTTGTGGATTTCTATTCCCAGAATTCCCCAGTCAGTATACAAGTCTCAAAGTTGCCATGTTTGAACACCCCTCACCTAAGAAGGGAATGAAGCAAGTGTGAATAAATACTAAACTTTATCTTTAATTTCTCCCCAAAACCAAGTTAGATGAGATTTCTACAGTATCTTTGTTTGCTTGTTATTTTAAAGACTATTGCACACAGTACTTTCTGATAGATTACATTAGGAATAATGTATAATGTCAAATACGGTAAGCCTTGTTCCTTATGAATTACAGAAGTCACATGTCATTTGCTAAACATTTCTATCTCATTGTCTCAGTGTTGAAAAACAATGTTGCTAGGACTTTTATTTAACCACCCCAAATGTCACATAAGAAGCTCTTTATTCACTTTATCAATGTGACATATTATCTGAAATATTGAAAGCTCAAAAGCTGAAGTTCACAGATGTTGAAATTTCAGAATCATTGTGGTGTTGAAGGATGCACACAGATGGGTGACAGCTGTCAGATTCAAATTAAAACTGATGGTAAACTATCAAATATTGTAAATTGCTAAATGTAGTCCAGTGTTGAAAGTTATTATAGATTGATTGCAATTATTTAATATTTGTAATTTTTTAAAGTAAATTTCTATTACCTCGAATAGCATATTTTTTAATGCGTACTTTGGAGTAACTACTTTTATAAACAAAGCAGTTGACTAAAAAGTGTTTCCCTCATTGGCCTCAAAGAACAAACAGAAGGCATTCAAAATAACTTTAAAAATATATATTCACAAACAAATCTCATGATATTCATTGGCACTTAATCTCAAAGTCTGTGACATGTGATTACACTTCCAGTATAGAGTAGGAATTACACTGGAAGAGGAAAGAATGGATATATTTGTGTGTATTTATGTAAATTTTATTAGCAGTAACATTGACTTAAGTTTTGAAGCTTCTACTGCAAAGAAACCCCTCTTTTAAATAGTCAATTTGCTTGCATTTAAATTGAATATTGCATAGATCGGTGAAGTGGGGAGTTATGGAATTGCTGGTAATCTTGGAATAATACTGAAGTGCACTTTATATTTCTGATGGACTGTGGTGATCACTATTCAGTGTTTAAAATGTATGGCCTCATGTATAACAAGTCTTTGATGCTATGTCATATCATGAAAGATGGCTACAATGTGAAGAGTTTCCTTAAGTTTGATTTGATTAAACCAAGCTCTCATTGTAACAAGAACAAACAACAAACTCATTTCATCAATGCTCCTCTAATTCGCTCTGGCTTCTCAAAAATCAGAGGAACTTTTTAATCATTCAGAACATTGCCAAGGCAAAGCAACAAGAAGTCTTTGAGAAAAAGGAGCCAGATGGGTTATCCTTTAATCAATTAAAGAAAGAGAAAGTCTATTGTCTCTTGGACTGCCGGGTAGCCTAGTCAAGAATTTAAATGAAGATGTTTAAGTATGGTAAGTAGTTTCATCCATGCTCATGCATGTTTGTGCACTTTTTTGTGGTGAGGGCTAACTTGACAATGAATGTTTAAACCCCATGGAATTGTTTACAAAAACTTTGATTTTATTTGAGAAAAAAATAATGTCTCATGTAACTGTCTGGAGAAAACATGTTTTCATTATGATGCATTTACATGCCAACAGTATCTCAGATTAAAAATACCTTTATATAAACAAAAGCCTTCTATAGTTAACTAGTTGCTGATTATTGGTTAAAACTGCGTAAACAGATGAACCATCTGTAAATATAAGAAGAACCTCTTCTTTGTTATCAGTTAGGATAATATTAAAGCAGCTAGCCATATCGTCCTGTGGGATGGTATCTCACACAGATCAGTTTTTCTGCATCCATCTTCTGAGTTTTCTACTTCTCATTTCCTTAGAACTTTCTATGACTTTTGGAAGCTACTGAAAACCCATACCTTTTGGTTTAACTAAACTTGCCCTGGTTTGGCACTTGGCTTCCAGCCTTGGCTGGAAGTAGAACCATACTGACCTGCAATGGAGAATTGTGGATATAGACTTAGGTTACAGTTTACTCTCCCCTTCAGTTTGCACAGGCATAGGGGGATTGAAATGCCTAAACTTGCAGTCTGGCCATTCCAATTCCACATGCAAAGATGTCTGTATAAGCAGTGGTTTAGCTGTCTCTCAGAACTGACTCCCCATCTGTGTAGTTTTGAAAGTCCCAGTTAGCATGATAATCACAACCTTGTTTAGCTGAGCCATGGTGGTGCAGTGGTTAGAATGCACTATTGCAGGCTATTTTTGCCAACTGCCAGGAGTCTGGTTCTCATTGGCTCAAGGTTGAGTCATCCTTTCATCCTTCCGAGGTGGGTAAAATGAGGAGCCAGATTGTTGGGGACAATATGCTGACTCTGTAAAACGCTTAGAGAGGGATGCAAAGCACTGTGAAGTGGTATATTATTGCTATTGCTTGGAAAAATGAAAATTGTTATAATGTTTGATATTTCAAAGTACCTCAAGTTTTATCTAAGCATGCTGTTGTTTTGCAGCAGCAGTTTTAATTTTGTTTTCCTATAACATCCAACTGTCTGACTTTGCCATCATCAAATTCATAAAGACCTATGTATTTAAGAGTCAGGAAATTAATAAAACTAAAAATAATTATTTTTATTGCAGTTATATTATCCAAGCGTGTTGGCTTAGTTTAAACATTAATCATAGCCAAATCCAGTTTAAAGGTAAATTTTAACTCTGTAACCAATCAGGCTGATGTAAATCCTTTTGTGATGGATGCCAGTGTTACATGTTACAGGGGCTTCATTCTTCCCTATATCACAAATGTTTATTGGTGGTTTTCTCATGCATTTCATATTAAATTTTGTTTCAAGGGAAGGGCAAATTAGACTTTTATACTTATCGTATTTGTGTGTTACGTTCTATCTCATTTTTCAGTCAGAATGAAATTTTAAAGTGCTCAGAAAAATTGTATTTATTCTGCACATAAATTCTTTTAATATTTACTTTTAAAAAAAAATACTCTTAAGGTTTCTCCCAACATCACAGCACTAGACAGGTGAAAAGCAAAGGACAATTAAATTTCAGGTTTTGTATTAGCTTGTGCAATTATGCATGGTCATATGAAAATGAAAACCAAAGAAACTTTTACCCATTATTTTTAATTGTTTACTTTTATGTTTCAATATAATATATATATGTTGACTTGGCATAAGAACCAGTGGCATAAATATGGCATTGCAAGCCACGAAGACACAAGAGCATTTGTTGCATACTCTTCATTGCATAACTTTAAACAACCTATAATGTACAGTGCTTTATCCTGAGTGCTGATGCAACATATGCCAATTCTCATGGATTATGAACTCATTTGTTGGTTGATCCACAAGTTGTCACAAGGATCCAGAAGAATTCAAGGAAGAACCGACATCATAACTCTGAACTATAAATACAATGAGCTTTCTAGAATCTTTTTTGCCATTTAAATATTCACTTGCAGAAATTCAGGGCTGTTCTTTTTTGGGTTCATGTATCTCTTACTTTTTTGTACCCCATACGTTATTACAAGTATTCTTGAAATGCAGTTACTATAGTATCTATGAAGATTCTCAAATCACCTAGGTCATGCTTTTTCTAAAAGTCATTCTCATGAACTAAAGAGGTTTCTTGGATAGAAAGCAAAATGTTTTCAAAGAAACAACCAAAAAAGTCCAGTTGTCTTTTGCAAAAAGCATAAATTACAGCAGTAACTCCTTATTCTCACATCTTCAACAAGGAACATTTGTTTTTTAATCTTCTCAAATGATATTCCGACATTAAGTATAAGATAAGATATAAACCTAACAAATAAATAAGGTTCTGATGGTTGAATAGAACACACCAAGTTCTTGGATAAACTGTATGATAGTGCTATAACACAATCACTCACTGGTTTTGTTCAATAATGTTTAAAGGAAGATAAAGAAGCTTCTTGGATGAGAAGCGAAACATCTTCAAAGAAAAATCCGAAAGTCCAGTTGCCTCTTGAAAAAAGCACCTTTGGGACAACCGTGACCTGGATGACTGAGAATTGCCATAGATGTTCAAAAGAAGTATGTTGTCATAAGAAAGGCCCATTCCTTTCCTGATAACATTTCCTTTTGCAGAAATAAGAGGATATGGATTTCTGCTTTATAATCATTTGATGTTACTAGATAGTAGGAAACAAATCCTTCTGCAGGGTCCCACATATGAAGGTAGCACTTGAAGACATACTAAAATGGTAAAAGAACAAACCAGCCCTTGGTCACTAATGCAGTGTCTGTAGCTCCCCTGAAAAAATAGAAAATATGTCTGTCAGGCTAGAAGTACTACTTTAGGCTATAAACCTGCCCACCACACAATCAGAACAGTGTTAGCTATTAACAGGTATTTTCAGGAAGAGTTATTCTAGAACGGGTGTCAAATGTATGTCATCACAGCATTGTCAAATGACGTATTGGGACTTTTCCCCCCTTCACTAAATGGTGGGGCGGGGGCAGCACGTGATGAAACTGGCACACCGGCTGTGAGTTTGACACTCCTGTTCTAGAGAGACAATCTTTTATTTCTGAGCTATGTGAAACCATCTGCAAATTTGCCTTCGTATGGCAATAAAGCATCTTTCATTGGCTAGATATACAAGTCCCTCATGGATGGATTTTTTTCAACTTTATATAAGGGCACCCAGCTGTTTCCTACAGGTAATCTACAACTTACAACTGGTTGGTTAGTAACCATTTGAAGTAATGTCAGAGTTTTCAAAGCTATTAAGTACAACTATCCTCACTCCCTGCGGTGATGTGGTTAAATTTTGGGCACCAGGTAACTGGATCACATTTATGACTGGTTGCAAAGTTCTGTGGTCCATGATACACAACTTTCTTTTTGTTATTTACTGGGCAAAAATAAGGGGGGAACCCATTGGATATGCTGGATTCACTTAACGATCAAGTTTAATAACCACAGCGACTTAATTTACAACTACCACAATAGTAAAAAAAAAAAAAAATCAAGTCTAGTCACGTGATGATTAGGGTTGCAAGCACAATCATTTGGGACCAAAATTGGTCATATTTTGGACCAATTGGTCATAAGTGAATCATTTCTAAATATTGTGAAATCATTTTCAAAATTTGGAAATAACAGAAATAAGAACTATAATATATTTGACAATATTTTCTACCAAGTAAGTTTTCCTGATAATCCATAAACTAGACAAGTGGCATTACCTTGTATTCATCATCTATATAGAAACTCCATGTGTATGTTTTGTTCAAGAAAATTACCTTTTTGTGTATATCTTTCAGTACCGATTGTTCATTTTGTTCTTCATGTTGATAAATCTTTCAGTTCTGATTAGTTTTTTAAATTCAAGCCCAACAATTTTTTAAACATCCTTTTTTCTCCTATCCATCTTTCTAAATTCAAATTCAGATTCTTTAAACAACCTGTTTCTGTTCCTAATTTTGCATTTTACAAAGTAGATATATTTATCCACAACTTTATTGTGATTGTCTTTTTCTTCTCAATTATAGATAATATAATCTAATTCTTTAAAAAGTAAAAAACAATGTGTCTTTTGTTGTTCAATTCATTCCTAAGTGTATTTAATGGTGAGTTGCACCTGATAAAATCACACTGTTTGGAATAGTATTTTTTGGAATGGGCAGTGATTGGAAGAGGGAAATATCAGCTTTTTAAAAAATAAAAATACAGCACAGTGATTAGGCACAACATTGTTCAGAACTAGCACTTCAAAAAACACTTATTTTTTAAATGTTCATTAGCATACCCATTAGCACATAATAATGCACTTAAAACTTTGTTATTGGTCTAAAAATCATTTATCCATATTAGCATGCAGTATGGAAGTTTAAAGTGCTTTTTAATGTGCTTTCAGTCTTCTCTAAGAATCGTACCAAGACAGCAATGAAAACAAAAACAAAAAAAAAGACTAAGTGGGGGATAAAAGAGAATTGTTAAGTTGTGCTCTGAAAATAAGACTGCAAAATGATAATGGTTTAAAATTTCTTTCAGAAATATTAGAAACCCAAACAAAAAGCTTGATGTGAATATTTAAAAGGCAGTAACAGTACTGTACTTCTTTTTAAAGACAGGCCCAAATTTGAACAATAGAATATGGCTTTGATTCCTTCTTCCCACTTACTGCCACTTTCCACTGAAGAATCCTGACCTTTAAAGAACAGTTGACTGAAGAATTCTGTGACCTGAAGTCCACAAGTCTTAAAGTTGCTAAGTTTGGAGACCTCTGCCTTAAAGGAATAGTGTGGCATTGTATCCAGGTTCGTTCTTGGAATTCTTGAACTTGGTGGGGAAAAAAACTGACGTACTGCAAGAATCAAGAATCAGCAATACATCTTGTGCCATTCCCCTACCAAGTGACAGCTCATCTCTGGCTGATTATAAGCGGGTTTTTTTTTTTTAGTATGCCTTCTGTCTGGCCCAAGAAAATGGCTAATTTGAATTTTTATTTCTCCTGACGTTACCTAAACTATAGCCTATACTGAGAATCAAAAGTATGGAGAAGAGATGTTGAGCAAGCAATTTCAGTTAACAAAGCAAAAATATCCATGTTACCAGTTAAAGGAAAATGGTATGGTTAAAGAAACCATGGTATGGTTCTCAGAATAAAATATATTTAATATGTATTATCTAACAGTCAATATAATGGGTGATTGGGAGACTAAACTGGAAAATTCCATGTTTAAAGGCATGAAACATATATCTTTATTCCACTACAAGAACCTTTTTATTCTAAATTATTTTCAGAATAATTCCATAATAAATTATTGAATAAAAGACAAATTTAAAACCTTTTATGTTATCTGACTTAAATATAATAAGGAATAAGGCAGCCAGTTCTTAACAAGCATATAATTAATGAACAATGTGGTCAGCCAGGAATTCCACTTTATTCAACCCTTTCTTTAAATGTATCTGCTAACTTAGTACTTGACCTAAATCTATTTTATTCTTGTGTTTGCTGGAGATGCATTGTATTCATTTCCTCAGTTTTAAAAGTAGATATTGCTGATGATATATGGTGAAATCAAAATCCTGTTTCATTTAGTCATCCACTTTATAAATTAAAAGTATTAAAAATAAGACTATTTACATTTTTCCTAAACTAGTACTAATCCCTCCCTCCACTTTCTCCTCCTCTGTAACTAAACATGAATCTAAAATGTCATGGAGGTTATAGGTTTTCAATATGCTCTTCACTGTTTATATAGTTATGACATGCT